TCCGAATTCATAAGATCAACAGTTCGCTCCCCCTCCAATGGCTTATCGGCTACTACTAAGGAATGATTCCTTAGAGTGTGAGTGAAAGAAAGACACAGAAACTCACACAGATAATTCATGCAGAACTGGATATCAACGTACACAGTACAATGATGTCAGAGTAATTATAACCTTCAAATATTTGGAGTTTAGCTGAAGTATCTTTCTGAAAATAGTTACTTAGTTTACAGAATTTATATCCATATTTTCCCCAGTCTAAATCTTTGTCATTTTTAATTTTTTGAGCAGAATAATTCCCATTAAGCACCGCATGTTTTTACACAGTGTATCATAGGTCAATCTTAGAGAATAGATAATGCCTCTTCCAATGGAATTATCAACAAGTGTTCAAAACAGAAACCCCTCTCCCTTTCGAGAAATGGGAATCACCAAAGGTGTTTAGCGATGGAAGTTAGCTGTTAAGGTACATATAATACGTTAAGTTAATCGATTTGAAGGAAAATTGCGAGAACGATAGAAAAAAATTTCAGAAAAATTAAATGATTTCTCTTGACATTTTCGTTATAAGTACTTGTGTTTTTTGCCCTAAAAAGTAACGAAAAAACAGTAAAAAGTACTAAATTTAAAAAGTAACGAAGTACAAGTGAAAGGACGCACATTTTACTTTCAATACAAGTAACGAAGGCAAAAGTATTGCCATATACGGTCATGACCAAAAAAGTACCAAAAATTGAAAAAAAAAGTAGGGGATGTTTTCAGAAAATGATTTGTAAATAAAGAAAAAGAGGGTCCTATTCGAATTCAGGACGTGGTTTTACATAAAAAATGTCAGGTCCTTTCGAATCGTGAGAGATAATGAGCAAATCAAGCATTTGCTATAAAAAAAAATTCTCGCGCTAATTAAGTAATTTGTTGTTACATTATATCTTCGACTTAAATATATAATTTGAGTAAGATAAAGTTATATGAAAACTTTTTTGTATTCTGATTCATCGAGGCCGGTAGTCGTAATTACAATTACACTTGATAGTAATAGTTTTTCTTCAAGACTTTATAAAGTTTTGTAATTATTACATAAATATATTTTTTTGACATACATTTAATTGTTCTCCCTTGTTTTTGTTGGTCCCTCTCGGTGACTTTTTGTTATTAGATTAACAAAATATGATTCTAGTAGCTTACTCCAATAAAATTAAGATTAACTATATTCAGAATCATTTGGCATGATGTTGTTGCTCGAGATCATGTCATGATAGTCCTATTTTACCGAAATCACATGATTTTGACCAATACTTATCCCTTTATACTATCGTAAATAAAAACTTTTTTCACGGAGTCTGTATAAAAACTTCAGAGTGTAGATGCAGTTTTAATAGGTATCAAATTCACTGATGTTATATTGTAAACATATTCGTGCATTTAGTAAATATTCAAACTGCACCAATTAAAAAAATACCAGGAGGGACTAATACTAAAATTAATTTAGCATCAATAATAAATGTGGAAATGTGTTTTCGGTTTGCTGGACGCAAGGAATTTTAAGCTTAATGTTTTGTTTTTTTAAATTTAATTTTAAGTGGATAAAAAATAAATTCAATTGAAAATAAAATAAAAAGTTTGAGCATGTCTTCATTTTCTCATTTTCTGGTAACTTTTAGCTTGCGTTCGGCTAACCAGATTTTTTTTTCATTTCTCCTAAGCGAATAAGTGCCATTTCTTTGCTTTAAGTTGTTAGAATACATAGCGAATTTTTTTTCTTTTTTTAATTTCAGTTAGTACTTATTACCAAAATTAAGCATCACTGGCGTTAAAAATTGCTTGACATTTCTTTACGGTTGTCTTAACCAAATTAGTACCCTTTCTTCTTTAATATTGCTTTTGACATAGCTTATTTTTAGTTTCGATTAGTAATTTTCACCAAAATTATTCAAGCATCAAAAGCATCATTAATAATATTACGATTTTTTACGTTTTTAAAGTACGATTTAGTACATTTTCTCTATTAATTTTGCTTTAGAGTATATATTTCCTTTACTTTATTTGGTACTTATTACCAAAATTAAAGACGCATCATTGGCATCTATAATAGTTTGATATTTTAAATGAATTAGTACAATTTATTCATTAATTTTTCTCTCTAGAATACAGTTTATTTTAGTCCTTTTCCATTTCGCTGGGCAAGCGAAAACGTTGCTAATGCAACCATATTCAGTGCAATTTAACTGTTTTTAATATTTTACTTCTAAGTAACGTTTTTTTTTCTTTATTTAAGAAAAAACTGTAAAAAACACTTGCGTTTAGTAGTAAAATAGTCGAAATGGAATGCCTGCAACTAACGTAGTGTGGGTATCATGACCCTGATTGGTTATTGAAACGTGGTGTTTGGTTACGCTAGCAACTGTTCTTTCCATTCTACTTCAAATATCAATTCTCTTAAGTGACACATTCTATATTCTCATTCAAGGATTCTTTCCCTAAGGTTTCAATTCTTTTACTATATATTTCTTACTTAACACAAAGACCAGTCTTGAAGCTATGTATAAAAAACTAATTATTCAACGAAGTTGCGAGGTATACAAAACAAAAATATATTAAGGTTACAATAAAATGCATAGACAAATAATAAATCAAAATTAATTAAAAGAGGTGGACGAGAAAAAATTACACTTCAATAAATTCAATGCGTGATACTGCATGAATAAGATGAGAAATAATTATAGATGTTTTTGTTTTAAATTTCGTCATTTCTTTTTTCATAGAATAATTTCATAAAAGTAGACGAACCGTTAAACAAATTGGTTTGGGACTTTTAAAGGTTTCAAAAATAATTATTAGTCATAACATAAAAAAACGCCTAACTCACTGAGGCCTCAGATTCGGCGGAATATTTTTTGAGAACCGCTGCTTTAGACCATGACATAGAGAGCTTATAAAGCTTATAAAAGCTTTAAAGAGCTTATAAAAGCTTTAAAGAGCTTATAAAAGCTTATAAAAAATAATATATATTTATTATTTTTTATAAGAGCTTATAAGAGCTTATAAAAAATGAAAATGCGCCAAGAATTTTTTTTCCTAGGAATAATTTCTTTCTATAAAATTATCCCACAACAAATTGTGCACCTTGAGTTTGCACAATACCGTATTTTAGATAGGTTACAAATATTTCATTAAATCTATAATATCGTGAGCTTAGCATAATCTACGATATCGTGAGACTAGGAAATTGCTCTGCCAGATAAACATATGAAATTCGCCAGATAGAAAAGTATTTGTCAAAACTTGAAGGAAATAATATGATGAGTTAATTGAATCGATGAAAAACAGGGGAAAAAATAATCCTGAAAACATGAATTCCTTAAGTAAGAATCTTTCTGATTGAGAGGATATGGATATAAATTTCGGCTTAAGAGTTATAGCAACTAGATTTAACTTCAATCTTCAATCATGGAGAAGTCATCTTTTCTTGTGTTTCTGGTTGTTGCAACATTGGTGACAAGGGTATCGGTGAGTATTTTGTTATTTGCAACGATTTTTTTTTACGTTCACTTGCAGAACCCAACAATATTATATTATATTAGAATGCAGTTTGCGTTACTATATGTGAAGGTTAGCTTTTTCGAAATATTTTTAGCTTTGAAAAAAAGTTTTTGTTGGAGAAAAAAAGTAAACATAAACCATTGGATGCTTGGTTCTACTTTGTATATCTTTTGTAATATCGATTGGATGATTCTTCAGATGTTTTAACACTTTCATTTATAGAATTACTATTATTATCGATTACCTTACATTTGTAAATACTTGTTATTCAAAACTTTTGAGATTATTTAGACGTTGTAAAAATTTGAAATATCGAAATTAAGAAACGTTTTGGCAATCATCAATTTACCAAAACAATGACATCCTTCAATAACCTTCTTAAACTATTTTAAATTGCTAATTTAGATACTAATATTAACGCAATAAAAATCAAGAGTACAAATCTACCAAGATGGAAAACCCAGCTGAATCCGCAAATCAAGAGGTTAGTACAATGGTAAGGGTAATGCAATGGTTTTCTTGTCATGTTATTCCTAATTTTCCCCTAATTTATTTTTAATTTATTCCTTATTCCTAATCTAGATGGCATACAACTTATTTTCATAACAAACAAAAAATTAAATTGAAATACTTCAAGTCATTTTCATTGCATAAAAATAATCGTAATATAATTAATAATAGAAAAATTAAAATAATTTTTTAAAAAGTAATCTCTCGTTTCTATTAACAATAATGACTGAAATAAAAAAAATGCATGTTGTAGCATAAAATGCACAATGCATCAGAAGCTAAAAACATTCTATTACATACTTATGATCAGTAAAGGAAGAATTAAAAGGAGAATGTTTTTAACTCGTAAAAAATTATTTTTAAAATAAAAAGAAATTCGAGGATTAAGAATGTAATAAATAACAACTCAAAAACATAACCCATACCATTCGTTACTAAAGATCATTAATGAGAAATTAAGATAGGATAATTTTTTTAAGAAATAGCTTGATGTAGAATGAAATGAATGAGGCCTCATAAGCTTGAAATCCTCTATTTATTTCTTATGATCAATATAGGAAAAAATAAAATGTGCAAAATTTTAATTTCATGAAAAGTAACAGTAAATGCACAATGAAAATCTAAGCAAGATGAAGAATGAAATGAATCAGAAGCATGAGGGTGATATTTATCGAAATAATTAAAATTAGCATAATTTCAAATCTATAAAAAGATAAAATGAAATGTGTAGAATTAAATATATAAGGCATCAAAAGCATGAAACACACTATTTATTACTTATTTATTGAAAAAACTGAAGCACGAATTATTTCTACTCTAAGAAAATTAATTTTTAAATTTAAAAAAAAAATAATGATGAAGAATGAAATGAATTTGAGAAAATCAGGAGCATGAAACACTATCTCTCTTGATCTTTTATGGATTGATTACTTATTGAAGAAATGAGATAGTCATTATTTCAACTCCTTAAAAAACATAATAACATAATATAAAAAATATCTCAGATAAAGAATGAAATGCACAAGGTATTAGAAGAGTTGTTCTCAATTGATAAGTCGATTTTTGAAATTTTTGCTATAATTCAAAACTGACCAAAAAATTAATTTGAATTGAATTTATAGTCAGATTCGATGGCCAAAATTACTTATACCATTAAATGTTTCTTAAAAAAATAATTTTTAAAGAATATTACTTGTTTTATAATTTTTTTAAATATATATTTCTTCAAAACTCTCCAATTTAAAACTATTCGAAATTTTTTTTAACCAATTTAAATATTTTAAACAATATTTTTTTTAAAAGAAAATATTGCTTTCACACGTTTTTAAAAATATTTTTTTATAAAAGTCTCTATATTAACTTTGGAATCGAGAACTATATTTGTTGTGGTCTAAATTAGTTTGAACTTTGTAATTTGATTAAAAAAATTTTTATTGACAAGGCACAACATTTTCTGCGATTTAATACTACTATAAGAAATAAATGATTAAAAAATAATTCAAAAACTAATTATATACATAAATAAGAAAATGAATAAAAATTTATTATTATTTTTACTTCAGCGTCTTAATTAGTGAAAATGTAATATTTGATATACATAGGCACAGAGAACAACAAGGATTTGTCACCAACAATCAGATTGCAATATTAAAGAGGAATGTTGCGTAAGTGGTTTATTGCAATTTGAATCTCACTGCCTGAAAAAGCGACACCTTGGTAAGTTCATTTCACTTTGATTTAATTATATACTATTTTTTTTGTGCATGTGCAATGTTAACTCCTATTTCGGCAGCTTTACCATATCGCTAACTTATTCATATACTGATTTACTGCAAGAACCGCCCTTAATATATATACTTCGAATCCTTGCGAAAAACGAAGACAAATTCGCCCATTGGGAAACGCAAATAAATATTTAAACGAGCGAAACGATCATTCTTCAAGGTGAATGTGCGAAACACCGAAATCTGTTTAAATGCGAAAAGAGGAATTAAAAAAAAGAATACTTTAACACCTCTAAGTTTCAATATGCAATCGTACAAGTATTGATGTTCAGTACCAATAATATACTAACTTCGAAATCTGAACCTAAATAATAATTTATAAAATGAACTTCATCCCTCTGATCGAACAATAGGCTAACATTAACATATGATGATGTACCGCTTGCAACAAGAATAAACAGTAATAAGCGAGTAAAAAGAGGCTTAGTCAATCGAATTCCTTCTAAATCTAGCAATCATGTCACCTTTTTTTAAGAATACATGAATAAATAACTGTAAAAAATTATAACTTTTGACTCACCAGAATTATTTGATATCATTAATATCTTATCAAATACAGCAGATTTGAGTTCTGAAATTACATTATTTATTCCTTTTATTAAAAACATAACTATCTGTTTGAAAACATCGCCACGCAGAATAAGCTGTAACAAGCAGCTGCATACTTTCGACCCAGAAAGTGTCAAGAGCTAGAGATAGTTGCTGTTTACATTTATATCGAAAACACCATCCATATAATAAGAACAATGAATCACAATTTATACTTTCAGGCCTAGGGTGTCGTATATAAAAAGGAAAGCAACACTCTTTTCTTTCCTCTCTTCTTTAATGGGCAAAAAGATCAAAATAGATCTAATACATCAATAAGACATTAAGTATACATCGAATTTATTACTTAAACAAAACTCTTTTCCGTGGGGATAAACGTGTGCCCCCTACCGAAAAATATACGAAACCGCAATTAATTCCAATTTATAAGACCAACAGTTCGCTCCCCTTCCCATAGCTTATCGGCTACTACTAAGGAATGATTCCTTAGAGTGTGAGTGAAAGAAAGACACAGAAACTCACACAGATAATTCATGCAGAACTGGATATCAACGTACACAGTAAAATGATGTCAGAGTAATTATAACCTTCAAATATTTGGAGTTTAGCTGAAGTATCCTTCTGAAAATAGTTACTTAGTTTACAGAATTTATGTCCATATTTTTCCCCAGTCTAAATCTTTGTCATTTTTAATTTTTTGAGCAGAATAATTCCCATTAAACACCACATGTTTTCACACAGTGTATCATAACTGAATCTTAGAGAATAGATAAGGCCTCTTCCAATGGAATTATCAATAAGTGCTCAAAACAGAAACCCCTCTCCCTTTCAAGAAATGGGAATCACCAAAGGTGTTTAGCGAAGGAAGTTAGCTGTTAAGGTACATATAATACGTTAAGTTAATCGATTTGAAGGAAAATTGCGAAAACGATAGAAAAAAATTTCAGAAAAATTTGATGATTTCTCTTGACATTTTCGTTATAAATACTTGTGCTTTTTGCCCTAAAAAGTAACGAAAAAACAGTGAAAGTACTACATTTAAAAAGTAACGAAGTACAAGTAAAAGGACGCACATTTTACTTTCGTTACAAGTAACGAAGGCGAAAGTATTGCCATGTACGATCATGACCAAAAAAGTACCGAAAATTTAAGAAAAAAAAGTAGGGGATGTTTGCAGAAAATGATTTGTAAATAAAGAAAAAGAGGGTCATATTCGGATTCAGGACGTGGTTTTACAGAAAAAATGTCATGTCCGTTCGAATCGTGATAGATAATAAGCAAGGCAAGCATTAGCTATAAAAAAAAATTCTCTATCTAATTAAGTAATTTGTTGTAAATAAGATCTTCGACTTAAATATATAATTTGAGTAAGATAAAGTGATATGAAAATTTCTTTGTATTCTGATTCATCAAGGCCGGTAGTCGTAATTACAATTGTACTTTATAGTAATAGTATTTTCAAGACTTTATAAAGTTTTGTAATTATTACATATAGATATTTTTTTGAAATACATTTAATTGTTTGGTGGCAAAATCGACCTAAGTTTAGCTTTTCTCAAATTCTCACTACACTGTTAAAAATTTCTAGGACAGAATGGTTAGATAACAATTTATTTAATTGTTATATTACCACATTCAGACAAAACAATTAAATTCCATAAATAAGATGGTAGTTAACTGTGAGAAAAACCGTTTATTACTGCTTTAAATGAACTCGATTAAGTAACTAGAATTTTATCGCATCAACTAGGCCCACCTAATAAAGCCATAGTTCCTTGTTGTTGTGTGCATCATATAGCCGAGAGGGCTCTAATCTGACAATTTCATGACCGACAGAACAGAAGTGCGATCTACTTAGCACATAAAAGTATAGTATATCCCACCTCAGGTGAAACAACCAGATTAACTAATTGAGCAACATTCCACGTTTCATTTCATAAGAAAACAACTCAACCACACCCTGTATCCAAAGTCCATTACCTAACGAAAGGTCTGACTCCAATGTCAAGTTAAATTCCTTTTTCATGATTTTCAAACCATGCTGGTTGTAAATGGTTAAAAACTGTATATTTTTGTAATCAAGGTTTTTTAACTATATTAGTTGTAAACAGTTTCAAAAACGTAAAAGTAAAATATGTTTCTCACCGTAGACAGCTTCCGGTTATTTTATATTAATTTTTAAATGAAAATTCCAACAGCGTCACTATAACCTTTTTTTAAAACAATTATCTCAAATTTGTCAATTATATAAAGTAAGACAAGATTAGTATTCTTTTATGAAATTGTGATTTGTGTAGGGGAATTATGTTTAGAAGACCAAGTTCCATTTAATGGTATGTATGATATAGTATGCCCTTGCATGGATGGATTAGAATGTCGGAAACAAACTTCATCAGTGGTAAGACATGTTTTATCAATTTGAAACGTTTTAGAGTCATTTTATTCGTTTTGATTTGCATGTTAGTTAGATACAATTTGTGTAGTTGTCATATTAATTGAGAAGAAAACTGTTTCCTTCCTTAGAAAGGATAGCTGCATATTTCTTTCACTATACTAATTTTTGCCTTGTAAAATTAATCATGTAATTTTATACGGTAACTGCAAAATTTGAGAGAAATCGGTTAAAAAATCGAATTTTCAGGAACTATGAAACCAATTTCAATCAAATTTTGTAAGTTCTCATTTGAAAAAAGTTACTTTTGAATGTTGTAAAAATCCGTAAACGTTACAATTTTAAAATTTTCTTGACTGTTATTGAACAAAATAATAAAAATACGAAATATATATTAGAATTTATTTTTTGCAAGGAATTATATTTAAATAAACGAATTTTATAATTGTGTGCACAAAAGTTTCTGTTCGACTAAAATCTTTTCTAGTTATGGCGAAATACGCAAAATGTAAAACTAAGATTAAGGAATCAAAATTTCGAAGATCTCTCTTGACCAAACTATAGGGACCCTATTTCCCAGATTGAAGCTACCTGTTATATTTTGAGAGTCAGAAATCCAAGTCCAGATACAAAATAAAAAAATAGGCACTTTTATTCAGAGGTACGTTTTTGTGTCCGATTTCATAACTTAAAATATCGTATGCAGTAATTTATTAGCATATTTTAAGGTCACTGTCTCGAATCATTAAGATGGAGTCCTAGAAAGTGAAGATCTAATCATTGGATCAAGTGTTATTCAGGGTGATCCGTTTTTTTTATTGCATTTTACCAACCATTATTTTAATCAATGCCAAGTTTTTAAAAGACTACCTACTGACTACTGCCACAATATTTGATTTTATTGTTTAAAAATTTCCAAGATAACTTTTTTGAAACTGATTGATTGAATTTGATAAACATTTGCAACTTTTCAGAAAAACAATTAGAAAAATTTGAGCTTGCAATTTTTTTTATCAGAATTATAGTTACATATATCAGAATTATAGTTACATATTATCAGAATTATAGTTATATATAATTATAGTTATACTGCATGAGTTGACATGAAAAATAAATTGAGATTAAAACATAATATTTTGCATCGATTTTAAAATTATTGTCTCGATTACTTTTTCTTAGTATGTCTCTTTTTTCTTATTATGCTTTATACTCGAATTATTCTTTTTTTTATTACTGTTGTTTATTTCAGAAACAACAGAACGTATCTTATTTTTCATCAAGTTATTTAGGAAAGGTGCTTCACCAGTTGATATGAAAACAATTCTAAAATTAAAACATAATATTCGATTCATGATTAGTTTACGTTTAATTATTTTTTCTTAGTATGTCTCTTTTTTCTTAATATGCATTTTTAAATTCGAATTAAATTTTTTGTTTACTTTATTTCAGATAACAGATGGGGCAACTTGTCACCCAAAGAAGGAACATTAATAATAAATAAAACTGTTAATTAACTGTAACTGTTAACTGTAACTTTGGCAAATTAAACTGTTGTTGACTATTCTATTGGCAAGATGTTTATTTTAAATTGCACGCAATGAATTTGTAACGATGTAAGCTGGAATTTTAAGTACAAACTTTTTGTATTTTTAAATGAGAAATATTATTTAAGGTTATTCATGTCCGGGAAAATTGTATAATCGTTATTCAGATCATGTTTTTAAAAATTGTTCATTATTGCTTGATAGAAGAAACCTGAATTGTAATATTAAAGAAAATAGTATTTGATGTTATCAAGTACTGTAAAATTTAAATGTTAATTAATATTGTGTTATTCTGTTCCTGCATTTTATTACTCATATTTTGAACGCACTTTAAATGCAAAAATAATCAAAAGTAAATTTATCATTTAAAAATCAAAATGGAGTTAACTTTAATTTTCAAATTGAAAACCTTAACCATCAAAAAAAAATAAGCCATACCTCTCTGGCCTTTCTTAACTTACCCGCATGTCTAATGATGAAGAAACATACTTTTCACAACTCTGGGAATGAATCAAAGATTACCAAGAATCTAAAACTGTGAAGGCTTGGTTACATATAACGTTTATTTACAGTACCATAAACGTTCACCAGGAAGCATAACTATAAAAAAAGCTGAAGTGGTAAAATATTACTTGATTAAAAACTTATTTGGACTTAAAAAACCGGAAATTAGTAATAACAGTCGACATGTTTCAAGTGCTCTGAAACATATGCCCATTTTCCAGACTTGCCAGGTTGAATGAAAAGAAATAAAACTTATTTGAAATACAAAACGCAAAGTTACCAACAAAAAATGGAAATTGTTCCATTTTTCATTGGAAACTTCACGTTTTATAATTTGAATCACTTTTGTTTCTTCTCGTTTACGTCTGTCAAATCTTGAAAATAGACATCCGATTTTTAGAGTTTGAAACATGTCGACTGTTATTTCTAATTTGTGCAAATATATATTTTAGGACGCACTAGGCGAAACAAGGATAACCGCTTAATATGGTAAATAGTGCGTCCCTTCCTTCGAGGAATATGTTTCAGGCAATCTTTATTCGCACTCACAACTTATGTTTGGTTTTTTAAAGATCTAATTGTTCTTATTTTATTAAATGCTAGCTTAATACCCTTTCTTTGCTAGTGGTGGAAAAATAAGCAGTCAATATATGATTACTGAACAACACTACGAAATCCTGCACAAATCTTATAGGTATATATGATCACAATTAATAAATCTAAAATAGTTCCATTTTTTAAAAAAAATTTATTACTATATTTTGTCTCTCTCAGTTGCTTTACGTTATAAGATTAACGAAGTAGGATTTTAGTAGCTTATTCCAACAAAATTAAGATTAACTGTATTCAGAATCATTTGGCATGATGCTGTTGCTCCAGGTCATCTCAGGGTGGTCTTATTTTACCGAAATCACATGATTTTAAACAATACTTATCCTTTTATACTATCGTAAAAAAAAACCTCTTTTCACGATGTCTGTATAAAAATTTCCCAGTATTCGCGATTGCAACGAACTATAGGGGGCGTTGTTGTATGAGACGAATACCTGCGACTTCTATATGAACAGTCATTCAGTAACTCTGGAGACGTCTTTAATGTAGCGTGTAGAATTGTAACGTTCCTTCTTTATTGTGGCTTATTAAATTTGAAACAGAAAAATGTTTGATATTCTTTCTTAAGCAAATGAAAAAAAAAAATAGTATATCTTTCTTTTTTAGAGAAGAAACATCCAAAACACATCGAAAAAATATTTGCAAATAAACAGAAAAAATATCTTCTTATTAGAGTTAAAACTTAATGCCTGAGAAATATTTTTAATAAATTTAAAGATATAACTAGGAGGCTTCGCCCCCTGCTCGCTCGCGCTCGCCAACCCCCGGAACTGCTTTCGCAGTTCATTTCGGATTGCTTCGCTATCCGATGCTCACTTTGCTCGCTCATTGGATACGTTCTTAACGTCTAGCTTTTGTATATTTTTTTGAACACTGAAGTTCCGAAAACTTTTCACTGTAGAAAATTCTAAACCTGTGCATTTCAATATTAATTTGAAATTGCAAACAGTTCACATATTTTTCTTAATCACACTGTTTTAAATTTCAGTTGTTGAGAAAAGTAACTGTTGTAAGTTTTGTTTTAAAGTCTTTCCCACCAGAGGGCTAAAATCATGTGTTGTAAAGCAATATGAAATAGTACTGAACGCCGGATGTAAAGCATAGGCTTCGATGAAGATAATTTTGTGAGAATTATTTTGATAATTCGGTGAGAATTCACCCGATTAGACACATGATGCTCACTACATGCTCTTGCGCGCCGAAGCCTATCTATTAAAACGTATTAGCGTTTTATATAATAAAGATTAGCCATATGATGCTGACTACATGCTCTTGCGCGCCGAAGCAGCCTATCAATTAAAAATGAAAACTGTTGCCAAAGCGAGAAAAGAAATATCATCGGTTTTATTGATACATACGTATTAGCGTTTTATATAATAAGATATGAAAGGCCTATTTAAACTTTACATTCCACAGTTTTAAGAATCATATTACTTCAAAAATAAAAAGTAAGAAAAAAGTATACATAAGCCTCATAATTTTATGCAATTTAATTTTGTGAAAAAGGTTTTTGGACAATAATTTTTATCAAAAAATTTTAAGTTTCAATAAAAATCATTATTTAGAAACTAAAAAGTGTAAAATAAATAATACTTATCAAACAAAACAAAACAGTTCTAAAAATTCCTCGCGTTATAGTAAAAAACTTTCATGTTTTTTGTTTTGATTTTATTCATAATCGGACGTAGAAAACCATTCTACAGAAAATTATCATCAAATAGGAAAAAAAAAATTTTACAAGTAAAATTTTTTATTTTATTAATTATAACACTTACCTGCCTTATAAATCCGGAGAATTCCAAAATTATATGTTCTTCATTGGAAAACTTTATTCTCAAATAATATATACACAGATTATCCCTTCATTACTTTAAGATGACATTAAAATTTTATAATGGCAAGATCTCGATATGAATTTCAATATGTTACTTAAAAACAAAATAGCTCAATTCTTGGTACTTACGCACTAACGCCACCGCAGCAGAATCTGCTCTAATGCTCCAATAAAGAGCAATCCTGTTGTTCACACACAGTTATCTTTTGGATTCCTTGCTGTCTTGTTGTTTGTTGATATTTGACGCCATTTTTTAGTGCTACGAAAATGCGTCTTTGGGATTTGCCAAAAACAGAACAAGATGCAATTTTATTTTTTCAGGACCGAAATATTTTACCCAACAAACGAAAATGTACCGATTTCCATGACATGAAACTTTATCTTGGTAAACGTACGTTTTGGAAATGATATTTCAGTTGGAATCTTATTTATTAGAGTTCATATGGCGAATTTTTATACGTAAGTACGTAAGAACGTAAGTACCGAATTTTTATTCCATAATATTCTGAATCATATAACTTCAAACATTAGAATATGCAAGAAGTATATATTAACACATAATGTTATACCATTTAATTTTTTCAAAAAAAAGTATTTTGACAACATTTTTTAGCCAAAAATTATACACTGAAAAACGTAAAATAACGAATTCTGAGGATAAAAAAAAAAACGAATTTAAAAATTCCTCATATTGAAATAAAAAACTTTCATATTGTTTCCTTTTTTTATTCTTATAGTTCGTAATGAGACGTAAAAACCCATTCTGTAGAGAACTATTATCTAATAGGAAAAAAAATTATTTACAAGCAAAATTTTTATTATAATATAAACGTGGTAAAAAATCATAGCACTAACCAGCTTAATAAATCCGAAGAATTCCAAATGAAATGTATCCATATTCGTACATTTAGTAACTATTAAAACTGCACCAATTACCATAATACCAGGAGGGACTAATACTAAAATAAATTTAGCATCAATAATAAATGTGGTAATTTTTTTGGTCTTTTTCAGCTGGAGACAAGGAATTTTAAGCTAAATGTTTTTTTTAAATTTAATTTTAAGTGCATAAAAATAAATTTAATTAAAAATAAAATAAAAGGTTGGGGCATGTCTTCATTTTCTGGTGACTTTTAGCTTGCGTTCGCCTAACCAGAATATTTTTTTCATTACTTTTAAACGAATAAGTGCCTATTCTCTGCTTTAAGTTGTTAGAGTATATAGCGAATTTTTTTTTTTAAATTTCAGTAAGTACTTATTACCAAAATTAAGCATCAATGGCATTAAAAATAGTTTAACGATTTTTTACGCTTGTCTTAACCGAATTAGTCCCCCTTCTCTATTAATATTGCTTTTAACATACCTTATTTTTAGTTTCGATTAGTAATTTTTACCAAAATTATTGAAGCATCAAGAGCATCGTTAATAATATTACGAATTTTTACGTTTTTCAAATACGATTTAGTAAATTTTCTTATTAATTTTGCTTCAGAGTATATATTTTCATTATTTTATTTGGTACTTATTACCAAAATTAAATAAGCATCATTGGCATTATAAGAAACAACTCTTAAAAGAAAAACAAA